GGTATCCAAGTAAATTTTTTAGGCTATGGTAGGGTTGGAGTCTACCGATTAGGGTTTGGGTGAGACAAGTACTTTTGTAGCTACCATCCGATTGGGATTAAAGGGGTTTGACCCCTATGTCGCTAAATTCTTAAAATTAAAGATATGAACTTATTTTGGTGATAAGGATGATGAAGATTTGATATATTTTATGGATAAGGTAGAAAATAGGCTTATTTTGCTTTGATGTCTTAAGGAAATAAAGATTGAGCTAGTAGTGTTTATGCTTGAGGGGAATCCCAACGATTGGTATAACAAGACAAGAAACCTAATTGGTCATATAAATAATTTAAAATATCTTTTCTAGAGGAGCGAGTTACTCGAGAGTATCGGGAAAGAAAGTGGCTAAATAGTTTGAGAGATTAGTGCAAACTTCTAATATAATAGTGACAAAATATGAGATGAGGTTTGCAAAGATAAGTTATTATGCCCCAAAAATGATACCTAATGAGATGAATATAGTGAAAAAGGTTTGTAAATGGATTAGTTGATCTACTTTTCACAATTGTATTTTCTCATAAGTTTCAAAGTTATTCTAAATTAGTTGATTGTATTTGTAAGCTTCAAATAAGGAGAATAAAGAGTAAAGCAATAAAGGAGTAGAGGAAGGCCAAAAGAGATACCTCATCATCTAATGGCCATAAAGGTCGTGGTGGTGAGTCTAGCTGATATGTTAGTAAGCAAAGTTATTCTATCACTCGGACGAGGTTTATCGGACATAGTAGCCATACGGGTAACATAGGAGTATTAGCTAAGGATCATCTCAATCGATCCATCAAGGTTCCGTAAGGGATATTCTTTTTGCCGGACATATGAAAAGGCTAATCTAGGTGTATGTATTTGAGAGAATAGGGCATGTTTTGATTATCATCAACAAAGAAATTGGATCCGAGATTACCCTTGGTATAAGATGGCGTAGGTGTCGCTTTCGTAGCCGTGTAGGTTTCACCTATGACTAGTTTATCTTTAAGACAATATGGTGATAAGTTTGGCAACTAGGTAAGCCAAAGGTTTAGTGGTAAAACACATAAAAGTTTACGATAGGCTAGTAGGGGATGAAGGTTCGGGAGATCGGGGTCATGCTAGTGTTCGTGGTGGCCGACCTTGAGTTTTTACCATCACCCAATAGGATGTTTAGGCATCGAATAAATATGATAAAACACTTTTCTCCGCTTAAAGATAGAGTATCAAAAGGTTTGCATACTCTAATGTGTATAATTTCAAGAAGTTGAGTGTTGTTTGTGGCTCTTTTCTTGCTATGTCTAGTTTGCTTTCTCTTAATGTAATCCATACATAAACCAAAATTAGTAAATCTAGATTCTAAAGAATCTCATTCTTTACTATTCTTTCTAGTCTTTCTTCGGATATATGATCAAAATGCTTATGCCATGAGTAAATTGAACTTTCATTAAGCATAATACACTTAATTCCAATATTTTGATACGTAGTAAGTAAGGATTTAGCAAATTTATCATCAAGTTTCAATTTATATAAACCATCTATAAGAATACTATAACTTATAAGTATAGAATTCGATATAAATTGAAATAATCATGTTCAAAATTAAAACCAAAACAACAAACATCCAACCTTAAAAGAGCAATAAGGTACCTAGAAATTGAAGATATATAAAGAGTCGAAAATAGGTCTAAATGATAACCAGTATCTAAGACCAAACAATAAATCTCTCGTGCCTTCATACAATTTCCCATACATAGGAAATTTTTAATTATGCTTATGGTTTGGATCGTAAGGAATATTAGATCTATGAGTGGTAGCACTAGAATGGAGTCACAAAGTATTATGGGGAACGAGTAATTAAATTTGATTTGAAACATACAAAAGTATTTAATATACCTTTCATTTTAAACCAATCCTTGCATTTAGGGCAATCTTTCCGATAATGTCCTACGTTCTTACAAGACTAACCTTTATCATCATTATGTCCCTTCTTATCAACATGAGGAGCTTTAACATGCCTTTTCTTTTTCTTAAAACTCTTGACTTTTATTTTTAGCCCTTTACCAACTCCTTGAACGAGTGAGGTTGATGGAATGGTTTTCCAAATTCTTAAATATATTTTCCTTCTAAATAAGTTTACTAGTCAATTCATTAGCATTTCACTTGTCCTTAATAGTGTTATAGTTAGCACCATATTCGGGAGGTAGTGAGTTGAAAATAAACTAAACTAGGAAGGAGTCATCCACAATCATTCCTAAGGCCTTCAATCTTATTGCAATGTTAGTTATCTCAATGGTATGTTCTTGCATATTATGCTACCCATCAAACTTCATGGTCATGAATTGTGCTATTAATGTATTAACGAGTGACTTGTTTACGGAATGAAAATTTTTCTACAAATTTTGAATATTCCTTTGCACTTTCTATATGTGGAAATTGACTTGCTCACTCCATTGAGTGAAGTTCAAACCATTAACCATTAAACATGGTAACGAAGAAGCTTGCGGATGGAGAAAAAATGTTGTAAATAAAACATAAATACTCAAAATTAATTCTAATAAAGATTCAGATAAAACATTAGAGCAAGTACGCCTTTGGACAAATATTACAACACACAATCATAAATAAGTGCCACTTCACATCATTATTAAGAAATTAAAGTTCTTAACCAAACACATATGTCATCTTCGGATAAACAAAATATATTTGATCCAAGAACTTTAATTTTCTTCGATTATGCTCATTAATCATAGAAAAATGATTTTCCTATGGGAAAATCCTAAGGTTCTAATGATTAATGAACATCATTTAGTCATCAATTTTTCGTAATAGGTATTTCATAATTGTCATGAATAAACGACTATTTTATGCATGTCATTTAATCATCCTAGCTTGGCCACTTTGGCGAACACAAACTATTTTAACATAAGAGCATGCATATATGTCATAATTATCATTTAAATACATAAGAGCAATAAGGCAACACATAATAATATTTGAACTTCTTAACAATCGTCATAATTTAAAGAGTAATTTCACTAGACATAATTGATATTGGCATATATTCATGTTGGAATAGAAAATACATAATGTGAAGTACATGATAACTATTTTTTTTTTATTCATGTACTAAAATTTTATTGCTTCAAGTCGATTTGGTATGTGCTATATAATAATCCTATCATGCATGCGTTCTTTTCTTTAAAACAAAACTTGCCCATTAGAAAAGGATACCTTATTTACAAGAACTCATTATGTACACAAAATGCAATATTGAAGCAAGCATGAAACAATTATATGAGGAGTAGGCTCCGCAATTACATTAAGCATAATCCTTAAAACCAATAAGAGAGAGAAAACGTAAATAACCATTGAACTAAAATTACTAAACTCTAGTCAAATTCTCGTGAATGATAAAAAGCAGAGAACGTGAATTGTCATTGAACCAAAATCCCTAAAACAATAACTTTGTTCATAGCATCATCATAAAGCATTCATGGTAACCATAATTGATCATAATACTTTCCAATTCGGATTAAAAATCACGAATTTCTTAACCATGCTTTGATACCATATGTACATAGAAGATTATTATCTTCTAATTCATGAATAGAGATCGTGAAACATATGATTTTCACATATCTAGGTTAGATGAAGAAGAAGCCATAACAAGAAAATCTCAACATCGATTACCGTTTATACATAGATAATTGGTTTCTCTCTTTTTCTTCGTTCTCTCTAAACACGCTTTGTTTGATGGATTTTAGTTATCATGTCTTTGTAGGCGAGAGAGAGGAACAAATATACGTGATCTGTATTTTTTAATCCGATGCCTCGATCAAGCATTAGTTATTTTTTAAATAGAATGAGTGAGATTTATTCAATTAATAACTCCCTATTTAATATCATAAATAGGTAATAAGGTTTGATTAGGAAGCTACTTGTTAGATTTAATCCCTTAATTTCAAGCCACTAATTTAATTACCAAAGGGTAATTATCCAACAGAGTTCACACAATATAAGGTTTTGTTGACACTTCACTCTTTTTCTTTTTTTCCACTGTGATGCTTCGGGACCTTCCACACGTTATTTTAAGAAATCCAAAAGCACCAATGTTTGCATAGACAGAATGTTCTGTTGCCTGCTTTTTAAAAGTGTTTTTGGTATGAAATAACATCAAATTAATTTATTTTTTTTCAAACAAAAAACATTTTAAACTGCATTAAAAAGCACTTACTTGTTCCACAAACATTTCACATCTATCTCAGAAAACTATAAAATTGTTTTGGAAAATTCTATAAACGCAACTGCCTTTGAATTCTCACAAAAGTACTCATGTGCGATTAGCATCCAGATCTTGCACTCCAGTACTCCTATAAGAGTTGGAGCTTAATTATTTTCTTATTAATCACGAGTGTACTCTTGGAGCTAAAACTTGGTCCTCACGCAGGAAAAAGTACACTCTTAACAAGCTAATTAACCATGTAAATTGCTTCTAATTAAGATTTGCACATACAAATAAAAGTCGTAGAAGGCTGCAAGTCCAAATTAATTTAACTTTATATCCTTATCACTACTTCAGAACTATTTGGAGGGGCAATTAGACAAAGCTTATTCGGTGAATATTTTAGGGATTGTGTATGTATATATATGATAGGATTTTTATCTCCTTCTCCAAGACATATAAATCAAACACTAAAAAGGATTTCTATAATATTATTATAACAAATTTCAATCTTTGACAAATATGCTTTTTCTAATAAAGAAATTTGACCAGAAATGGAATATTGTCTGAAATCTCATAATGAGGTTGCAAGGCAACTCCGGGTGTGTATATATATATATATATATATATATATATATATATATATATATTAGAAATAAGCATGAAGCAATAGCATGCAGTTTCTCGAGTCAGAAAATAAAATCTGTTCTTAGGATGGATAAGCTTGTTTTATATTTTTCAGGTCTTTCTTTTTTGCTTGTATCACTCCATGTAGCTGCCAGGGTTTCATGCTCCATTTGGTGGAAACCCAAGTGGTTAGCGAAGAAGTTAACGCAACAAGGGGTAAGAGGCCCATCATACAAGCTCCTGTTAGGAGACATGAAGCAGTACGTGAAGCTGATAACTGAAGCAGGGTCCAAACCCAACGATCTAACCCATGAGATTGTTCCCCGTGTTGATCCATTTACGCTGAATAATGTTAAAAAATATGGTAAACAACTTTTTTTTTTATGGTGAGCTTAATTGAGGGTGAAGTGTACCCTAAGCAAATTTGCGTTCATGTGTGGAAGATTTTTATTTCTTTGACAGGAAGGATATCAATGTTTTGGGCTGGGATGACACCAAGGCTGATCTTCAAGGATCCTGAACTGATGAAAGAGATCCTTTCTAACGAGCTAGGTCATTTTGGAAAGCCACCATTAGATCCAATTATCTGTAACATTTCTTTCTAATCAACTGTCATGTACAGATTCGTTCCCACAAAAAAGAATCAGAGCAGAAGGAAATTGAACAAAGAGATCACATCAATGATGAGGGATTTGATTGAAAGGAAAGAGTATGAGATGAGAATTGGACAATCCAATGTTGATGACTTGCTAGGCATGCTCTTGCAGTCTAATGAACAGAACAACATAACAGAAAATGCGAGCGGCGCAAAAAGGGATGGCTTGAGTACTGAAGAGGTAATAGAGGAATGTAAGCAGTTCTACCTGGCTGGACAAGAAACAACCTCGAGCTTGTTAACATGGGCAATGAAAGTATTAGCTATGCACTCAGAATGGCAAGAAAAGGCAAGGGAGGAGGTTCTACAAGTTTGTGGGCAGAAGGAACCCAATTTTGAAGCTTTGACCCATCTCAAGATTGTGAGTAATTTCCCTTTAATTGGATAATCTCTGACCCTTTTGTCCTCGTTAAGGGCCTCACAAGGATGTCTACACACACACACACCCAAACTCTTTGTCATGCATCATTTCATGTTAAATTGTGTTGGAAATCCTCAGGCTACAGCACTTCTTTCCCAAATACTAACCTCTTTGATCAAACACTATTTCTGTTATATTTAACTGAATGCAGGTAACCATGATACTGAAGTCTTAAGGTTATATCCGCCAGTGATTGCTCTACACCAACATACATAAAAAAAAAACCAGGATAGGAAACATCCATCTTCCGGCAGGAGTTGACCTTACGCTTCCTATGCTGCTCATTCATCATGATCGCGATCTTTGGGGTAATGATGCAGAAGAATTCAGACCAAAGAAATTCTTTGGAGGAGTTTCAAGGGCGTTTAAAGATCAACTAGCATTCTTTCCCTTTGGTTGGGGTCCCAGAAACTGTATTGGCCAAAACTTTGCCATGTTTGAAGCCAAGATGGCTCTGGCAATGATTATGCAGAATTTCACATTCAAGCTCTCACCTTCCTACATGCATGCTCCTCATACTGTTATGATGCTTCTTCAACCACAGCATGGCGCTTAAATAATAATACATCAACTGAGTTGTAAAGTCGCTTACTGGTTTAATAAGTCTCTGCGTTGCAGAATATTTATTTCTTCCTTATGCTGCTGCTTTGTACTATTTCCGGATGTTGATTCAAAAAATAATTCCCGCAAAACTATTTGAAATGGTTGGATAATATTGTAAGTCGATTATTGTCTATAAAATATTTTATAGAAATTTACGGGCTAAAGATATCTTCCAACAAATAAATTAGTTTATAGGTTGATTGTAAAACATTTTGCATTTACTAGTTTTTATAAACATCAGGAAAATGTCCCTAAATAAGGAAAAAAAATTGAGAAATATTGTGCATGCAATGCTTTATCGAAGGCCTGCCCAAAAATGAAAACTTGAACCAAGCAAATATAGAAGTGAAAACTTGTACTCTGATGAATTTATAGGGCTGGGAAGTTGGTCCTAAAAGATAATTCCAACACCAGAAACTATCACTTCACGGAAAGTTCACCATCAACCATCCGAATTCTCAGGAAAAGAAAACTAAAAAAAAAACCAAAAACTCATGCATCAGAGAGCTTCCCAGTTGAGGAATCATGTAAGAAACTGCATCTCTTCCATTAGCTATCTCTAAACATGATTCCATGCGTTGTCAACAAAATGTAAGCATAGATTGCGTGAATTTCAAATTAAATGCATGTGTTAAAAACCAAGTACAAGAAATGCTTCATAGCAAAATGTGGTTTATGAGTTTTCAATATTTTTCAACAAACAAAATATAAGAATCACCATCAAAACCAGATTACTACCAGATTTACTTCATTTAATTTTCTCTTAAACGAGTAATCCATACAGCAATTCGCCATCTTTGTTTATTTGATAGTTTCTCATGAAGGAATGTTCAATAAATGCTTCTTTTGTAGAAAAAAAAAATGTAGATATCAGTTTCATCTTTATATAGGAGAAACCATTATTATTGTCACAATTTTGCGACACTACTTATAATGGCATCCACATCAGGGGTTAGTGTAGCACGCTTCTCAATTTCTGCAACCACACAACAAGTTTTCTCTCCTCTATTAATAGCTACAACATCTTGAGCAAATGTAGAACTCATACCTGGGGAGACCTGCAGCAAATTCAATAATTAGATCATTTATTTAAATGTCAAATGTGTCTCAACACGCTGATTTTATCTACATTAACTCAGATATCACAAAAACTTGAAACTTCATCACAATATAGTAATCAAAGAAGTTCTCAAGCGATTGGGTAGTTTTTAATGGAAGCAGTCGAACAAAGGTTTCTAACAGTTTCAGTTTTAGTTGTAGGTAGTTCTTGCTCCAAAAGAGAAAATGTTTTACTTTACCATGTCCACAGAAGTAAAACATCTTCATTCATCAGTTTCATTGTACTCTTCATTTTACTTATTTTTGAGTGGGCTAAAAATTATAAATGACTCACATCATAAAGGGTATCCCCAAGCTTCAGCTTAACAGCACCACTCCTGTACACTAGCACTTTACCCATGTAGCCTGCTGGTAGCTCATCTAATCCGCAAGTCTTCTCAATTGCACGTGCACCACCTGATGGCCTAGAGCTTTCCTTAACATCAGGGGTATCTGCTGTAGCTGATCGCCTTATCATGGGCACAGTTGGTGGTAACTGAATAAAAAGCAGACTCGCTTCAACATTTTCCTCCTACAAACCAAACCTCAGAAAGTGTAAGGAATGAAACAAGAAGTACCATGAAAACTTCAATTATGAATTTACAAACCATCAAACCAAGCTCCACTGCAGAATTTGTTGAATTTTCATCATGTGTTACAGATTCGGAAGCCTCCCCAAATTCCTCCTCATCAAGTATTGCTACAAGAAATATGAGTTAGCATAATTGTACAGAACAAAGTGCAAACCATCACAGAGGGAGCATGACTGCTTATAAAACAGGAGACAATCAAGAAATGACTGAAGACAACTCAAACCAGCAGCAAGTTTTGAACCAATTAGGTAAATAGGTAATGCCTTGATCATAGCAAAATGCGTACAGCTATTCAAAGTGCTATATCACAGTTATCCAATGTTCTTGCATAGTTCGTTTCCTTTAAAAAATGCACCTTGAAATTACCTGGATTTCCTAAGTATGGCCTCCTCATAGGGAGACTCACGGGATAATAACTGTAATAATCCTGTAGTGCATAAACAATCAACAAAACATAACTTAGTAGACAGTTGCACACAAACAGACTTGGTGTGTGAGAGGGAGGAGGAGAAGGTGGAGAAATCTTGGAGAAAGAAACGAAGAAGCTACAGGGTGTAATGAGGCTTGCAAGCTGGAGTCATGGTTAACCTACCCATGGTTCAACGTATTCTTTCTCTCTTAGGCCTGGAGCATTGGCACTACCTGGAAAAGAATGCAGGTGTAAAGCACCTGAACATATGATTACTAGCAAATAAGAAAGCAGTGAATCCAAGGATAGCATACCATTTGAAGATGAACCCTGATCTCTGTTAATTGTACTCCAGCTTCGAGAGGGCCTAGGTGCAGCAGCTCCAGGACCAAATGCAATATCTGGTTTCTGCACTGCATATAAATCAACAGATCAAGGAATTAATTTTCTTATTTTCAGATCAACAAACCACATAGTTTTCATTCAAGAACACAATTTTTTATCTGTCCCCCCCCCCCACCCTTTTTTTTGGACCAATTAAAGAACAAGCATGATGAATCTAAAAGATCGCAGAATTCACTTCCAGTAAAGTTCATTATAAATAAAAAGTTATCCCCACTGCCATCGACAAAATGGCATAGTTCCCAAGATTGTCCTAGGAACAAACATTATTATGTTTAAAATTAGTAGAAACTGAGTGAATGATTCATAAACTAGAAACAAATTAAAATGTAGCTAACACTTGTCATTCATTTGGTGCTTGAACATGGATTAATAACAAAGACTGAGATACAAGCACTAGAAGTTGAGGCAAGTGCATTTGATAGATCCAAAAAGGCACAAACTTGAGAACTCAATATATAGTGCGAGCAAAATAGCTGGCTGGATTCCTTCTATAAACAACTTGAGACATTGAGATGCTAACCGAAACCCCAAACAGAGAGTCAGATGAAAAAATAATTGAAGTATGATGTCAATCCAAGAGTACAAAAAGCCACTTGATCGAGAAAAGAACTTACCTTTCTTTTCGTTTGTAGTCTTTTGCTTTATGGACCTTTCCTAATGAAAGATGTAGAGAAGTCCCATAAAAAAAAACGAAAAGAAAGAAGAAAATTGAATAAAAAAATCCACTGGTTTCATAATAAAAAGGAAATAACAAAATTGAAAGAAACATACTTGGAATTGCTTCATCAAATTCATGGCCTGTAGAGTACCCACATTCTCCACCTTTTCACTGCAAACAACAAACATATACGAAATGACACAAATAAAGGGAAAAAAAGGGAATTTAAATCAACCAAGCAAACACATTACTGTTGGGGATTAACCAAAACGACATATTACGTTTTAACTTCAGGATTTGGCACTCGGCGCGGGGGAACTTTAGGCATAAACCTATACTGCAACATATCAGGTTAAGCAAATCATCAGCAAAAAAAAAAGTACTTGAGAAGTTCAAAACGAAGTCAAATTAAAATGGTATTGAGGCAAACCTTCCTTGGGGCATCTTGTGGAGGCTTTGACCCCATCTATAAGAATCCAACCGATAAAGCTTGTAGCTAGCTAGAACAAATAAGAAGAAAGTTTAAGCAATCAGACAACTGCAAACAAGAAGTGAATGAGAAAAGAAAACAGATGATGCATATATATATATATATAGAGAGAGAGAGAGAGAGAGAGAGAGAGAGGAGAAGAAGAAGAGGGTGAAAGAGGCGGTTAAAGCTAACCTGCAATGAGAGTTTGTAAGTGTATGAGAAGAGGTGTTGTTGTCTGCGAAGTAGAGTAGCCAATGACCTTAAAGCGGCCAACGCAAAACTTTGAGTCCAGTCACTATAAAAATAATAAAAATAAAAACCTAGTCCTTTTATAGCAAACTGAAGGCCCGCCTGTTCTCGCGTCCCTATTAAGTTCCCACGTGTATTTTTTTTGTTATTTTCCGACTTCGTCTTTATTCCTCCACTTCAAGGCCAGAATTCTTGATTATCAAACCATTTCTATCATCAAATCCAATTTAGTTCAAATTCAATATACATGTATTTATTATCGTTTGATTAAATTATCAATCCAATTTAGTTCAAATTCAATATATCATTTGATTAAATTAAAAAATCTGTAAGGAACGGTACTCGACCTCTTTTCATTCAAGTACATAATAATCGATATTACTAAAATTTTGGGATATTGAACTATTTATGGGAAAGCAGAAAGTACTCTTTTTTTTAAAAAAAAAAAAAAGAAGGTATATTAGGTTGAAATTAATTTTATTATTACAATTTGTTGCTAAATAACTGAAAAATAAACAAGGGGAATTGTCCGATTTGGGCTAATTGTTTTCAGCGCACGCCAATATATGGGCTTACATTGCTTGAGGCCATGTTCTAGTTGAAGTATCACTGTTAAACCATCCTTGAAAATTAATTTTCTCAGAAGAAGCAAAACTTCCATGGCACAAAAACAAATACTACCATGCGCCATGAAAATTAGATCTAACAACACATGACTGAACCCTGGATACAGTTAAGTAAAAGGGTTAAGTCATATAATTAACACACGCGATTAGATGAGGTGATTTTTTAATGTTCCCTAGTTTCTCACTGCTTGCACTGACTGGGTCGCAACTTGTTGAGCCATGACAGTAGCATACTGCACAGCTGTGTGTTGCGAACCATAGTGATCTGTGAGACCATACTCCACGAAGTTTGGTTCCATATGCATAAAATGGCCTGGTAATGATCTTTTTGCGATGGCTTCGTGCCATATATCAACAAACTCCTCCATGACTTGCCTGGATTTCTCCACTGATGATAGAGGAAGATATTCCACCTTCAACAAAACAAGCAACTTTCATTATGTTGAATCACGTTACCAAAAACAGTTGTTGCAGTCACAGGAGAGAGGTTGGAATGCTTTTAGCAGAACATAGCATAACAATCTCAAGAATAGCAATTTTCATGATATTGGATGATTTAAAATTCACTACTAACTAGTAAATCGTTTTCCTCAATAGTCGATTAATGAAGATTCACTTGAAAATCCTTCTGTTTTGATCATACACTCCAAACATTTGAAACACGAATTTTACGTATGGATCATATCCCACTTAGTAGCTACAAAAGCCTTTACATTGGATATGAGAGATTCATCACATTAGACGCTACACACATATTATCAACCAAAATTAGGCACATGTTTTAGCATGCTGAATCCTGTATATCAGCCAGGATGGGGAATTGCTGTCGTCTGGAAAAAACTCAACTTCAGCTAGCATCTCATTCTCTACAGGATATTCTGACAAAGTTTAACTACACAAACTTCACTACAAATCGGTTTCCAATCGGCATTAAGCAGCTAGCTCCCATATATGATGACAATAGTGGATACAAATGCATCAATCCTACCACGTAATATCAGATCCAAAGCTACGCAAGAAGGCACGCTAACTTAAGTCATCAATTTTATTATATTAACATATCAAAAGCAAAACAAATCCAATGGTTACTGCAAGAAAATTAAGTCGCTCATTATTACCTCCATAATAATTCCCCTCAAGTTGTCGGAATGAGTTGGGGTGACCTTCCCTACTCGCAACTGAAAGTCCCCAAGTTGATACTGAAAACCCTACATAATAAGGATCCCAAAAAAATCATATATGCATACATATACCAAAATTAGCAGAGCAGAGCAAGATACCATAAAAGCATAATAAAATGCAAACAACGGGAAACGGAAAAACCTCAAAGTAAACGGCAATCCTGGACTTGTAAGACTGAAGTTTCTCCATTATCGTTTGAATGGAGGAATCTGCCTCAAGAACAATCCTTTGATCTCGGATTATGAAGTAATATTTATTTGGCTGCTCTGGCAGAGAAATACCGAAGAATTCTCGCGGTAATTCAGCAGCTTGTGATGGTTCTGGATTTCAATTCAATTCAATTCAATTTATTGATGATGTTTATCAAAAAAATAAAAACGAAAAGAAAAGCACCTCGTAGTATGGGTTTATAGTAGGTGAGAGTAGCTTTCCATCTGCCTTCTTTAACGCCGTTAATGCTCTCCACGCACTGAGATACTTCATTGAGGATCTGGGTGTTCACTGTTGTTCCTGCGTTGGGTTGCCAATGCAAAACCCTATAGACAGAGACAGATAGGCACAACTTTATTATTCAGTTTGAAAAGAAGAAGAAAAAATGGGATTAGGGTTTTGATCAGCTTTACCATTTGAGTGGCATTGCTCTGGAAACTGACGACGCTGAGATATTCTCCCTTCTCTTCTCTTCTCTTCTCTTCTCTTCTCTCCAAAGGAGTGGAGTGGCGTGGAAGATTTAAGAATGATGCGATTGCATTTACGGTCTACCCCATTCCCATTTTGGGCAGAACATAACAGAAGAACTAATTCAGCCAGCAGCCCTTAGGGCTCTGTTTGTTTGAAGGGAAACAAATTCCTTGGAAATTAATTCTAGGAAAGTAATTTTCGATATTTCTTGCATATTTAAAAAGTATATTACTAGTTTTATAAAAATAAAAATTAAAAAGTATATTATTATAATTTAATTTTCAGTCTTTCATAAAGCTAGACTTGCCACGTGACCGTGAAGGTCTAGAAGATGCCTCAGCCTCAGCACTTTTTTTATGATCATGTAACTTAGTCCTCATTGTAGTAGCTCATAGGCAATATACTTAATACCTCATTCATATAAATCTTGTTCCCTCTTTCATTGGCTCGCTTATACTTAAAATAAGACGATGATCTTGGGTTTACAAGGAGGAAATAGTAATCAACATGAGTAAACCCAAGCCAAAGCATATACAAATCCAAGAGTACAAGAACAAATGAGATAAATATGAAAAATCAAATTGAAATAGAGAAGTGTATGGGTAGAAAGGGGTACGCCTAGCTTGAAGAACAAATTGACACCCCCGTGTGTGTTTTAGCTTAAGAAGTCACATGGGCGTAAAGGAGTATACACGGCATGAAGAATAAATTGACATGTTTATACATGTCTTAGTCGAAGAAGTCATACAGGTAAAAGGGGACATGTAACTCCCGTGAACTTGCTTAACGTAGCTATATGTACGGAAATAATTTTATCTACATCTACTAAGTCGCAATTATGATTTTTGTGTCATGATTGTATTTAGTGAGTTTAAGATGCTTTGGTTTAAAAAAAAAATTATTTTGGCATACCGAAATTTAATTCCCGAGCCCAAATATCTCTTGAAATATCCATGATTATGTGAGCATAAATTATGTGCCATTTTTTTTATATTTGTGGTGTAAAAATATTTAAGGTTTATAGAATTATTCATATGAATTCTTTTCTTTGGAAATTAATTAACCATTGATTATTTTTCTATAATGTATATTTAAAATGACCATGGAAGTGAAAAATATGTCTCACTTAAGAGTCATGGTCAAATTTTATGAACCAAATAAGGTTAGGAAGTTGATTAGTTTAATTACCTTTTTGTTTCTCTCTTTAGTTAGTGATTTGACATAAAATATTTCACCATACTTCCATTGTACTTTCTCACTTAATTTTGGAAGGTCAAACACTCCAACTTGTCTCTCTTTTTGTCTCCATCAATTGACCTCTCTTACCACAAAAATTGGACACTTGGCATATTAAACATAAAAGAAATAAAAAGGAAAAGTATAGTATTAAAATTGGGTGAAAAAGATGAAACCTTACCATTCTTTTTAGCCAAAAATTTGTGCCTTTCAAAAAGAGGAGAGAAAAACTTGAGTTTGAGGGAAAGAAAGGAGAAAAATAAAGAAGAAAAGGAAAGAAAGGAAGGAGAAAGAGAAGAAAAAGGCTAAGAAATCTTAACCAAACACATATCATAGTAAGTAGGTTTCTTTTCGTTTCATTTTAGTTTTATTTATGCTTTAAGTTATCTTTTACATGTTTGATTTATGGGTTTTTATTTTAAGTCATAGAATATGAGGTTATGGTAGCTTATGTTGATATTAAAAATTTGATGTTTGGTGATGGATTTATGTTGTTTTGATGATGGATTTACTTTGAATGTTGGATGTGTATTTTATGTTAAACTTTAGGTTAGAATGTGTAAGTATGCCATGTATATGTATGATGATGGATGGTTATACATATATGATGGGTTGGTTTGGTGATAACTATATGTGATGAGAAATGTGTTTTAAAAGAAAATTTTTGAAAGAAAATTTTTGAATTTTTAAGGGTGAAAAAATTTCGAACCTTGCGTGATTTATTTAGGGATTTTAGAGTGATTTTTAGGTAAACTTCAAAGAATAAAAGTTGTTCCTCTATGTGTCTTCTAGCTCTCTGTAAAATTTTTTGATATATATATATATATATAAAGAGTTATGGCCGATTTGGTACAGATCATTTGGATGTACCACATGCTGAAAATTTTTAGGTCCGAACTTTTTGTGATTTATTTAAGGATCTTAGAGTAATTTTTGGATAAAACTTAAAGAATAAAAATTGTTCTTCTATGTGTCTACTAGCTCTCTGTAAAATTTTATGATTTTTAGATCTATATATAAAGAGTTATGACTGATTTGGTACGAGAGAAAAAATTTGAGTTTAAGGAGAGTGATTTTCCAAAATTTAATGAAAAGAAATGAGTTTACGTACTTAAACTTGATTAGTTAAGGTGTTTAGTTAACCTAATTAGTTAGTTAGACACCTAAACCACCTTAATATAACCATATGGGTTTGGAAGATATGTATGATTGGGCTTGGATTTAAAATAAAGTGGACTTGGAATAAAACACATGGACTTGGTCTAAAACAAAGTGGGCTTGGACTAAAATAAAAAGGGGTTTGGATTACAATCAATGGACTTGAGTTAGAATAAAAATAGGCTTGGATTAAAACAAAATGAAATTAGATTAAAACAAATGGATTTGGGCTTGGATTAAAAATAAATGGGCTTGGACTAAAATAGAATGGGCTTGGATTAAAATAAATGGATTTGGTTTTGCATTAAAATAAATAATTTTGGATGAAAATAAATGGACTTGGATATCCTAAGAATACTTAGTGGACCTTGGTACTAAAATGGTCAAGTTGAATCATACCATGAAAATATTGATGAAGACCCAAGTGTGGATTGAATTTCTAAATTGGTATTGACATAAATAGTTTGGTGCCTATGAGATATAGAATATGGTTCATGATACATGAAATGGATTAACCATATTAGACGGTTCTTGAATTCCTTGTGTGAACTCAATGGTATGGAATTGACGGGTTTAGTACCCATGACATGGTGGAATGTGGTTCATGATACATCACGTGCATCATATGCATATGGAAATGGATTAAATTGAGAAAAACCATTGAGTAAAAAATGATAAGATTTGGTAACCGAATCGAATGAAAATTGGATAAGTTTGCTAGCCTACTGGATAAAAGGAGTATTAGTAGTCCAAATCGTGTGCGTACTCTAAACCGTGTGCTCGCATTGCTAGATGATGGATTCTTGCTAACGAGTGGCTATAACGAGTGATAATTTTATTATAGCAGAAGGTGAGCTATGTTCACTTGGATTAAATATAGAGTAGACTTGCTAATACTTAAGGTACTCGGAGATAAAATTTGATGAGTCGAAGTGGGGGAAATCGGAAAATCATTGCATATCACGTGCATCACCCTACCGACTAAACTTTGGCTTACTCCGTGTTTATTTCATGCCATGACAGGTAAAGACGATAATAATGCTGAAAACGAAGCTGCCGGTCCTCCCGAAAAAGGCTCATGTGTGACGCGACAATTATAGGATCTACCTTTGCTTGTAAATTATATTTTGTATTTTTTATAATGATATTCAATACATTGTGTATGTGTATGGGATTAAATTTGAGACTTCGATCTCTAAACTATGATGCACCCGACTATGCCTTTTAGGTAATCGACAAGAGAGTCGGGGACGCCACAAGACATGGTTTGTACAAGAAAGTGGCACGCCCATATGTGTTTTAGCCCCAAAGAGAGACACGAGCAGAAGGGTTTAAACACAATTTGTTTCAAAAAATAACATGTACGAGCGTGTAGTAGCAAAAAGGAGACACAAGTAGAAAGATTCGACATGGTTTGTTTGGAAAAATGACAAGCTTGTGCATGTTTTTACATAAAAAGAGACACGAGTAGAAAAAATCAAACATGATTTATTGAGTAAATTCAACACGTCCGTACGTGTACTTAACAAAATAAGAGACACGAACAAAAAGATTAAACATCGTTTGTACAACATATTAGACATGTTTGTGTCTAGTCAATAAAATTGCAATCCAAGGAAGAAAAGAAAGCTACACGGACAAAAGCAATTGACACGACTTAAAGACAAAAGTGAATGGTTGTGTGTCACTATAAAATTTGTTCAAAGAAGAAGAAATGCCACATGGGCAATAGCTCGGAGGCACGGTTTGCGGAGAAAATTGACATGATCATGTGTCGGTTTATGCAAGCCATGTAAGGGAGTATAGACGGCATGAAGAATAAATTGACACAATCATTTTTTAAAACCTCAATACAATTCATAACTTGAAGGACGAACTAAGACAAGTAATGAACTTTCAATGTTGCGAGTGTGAAAGCTAAAGCCAAAATGATGGGTGGGATTCGATGGAAGCCGAAACCAACAAGACTATGGTGTTGTGACATTAAAAGTGTAAGCTAATCTATTATTTTTTAAGGAGGTTCAATCATCGAGGGCTAAGAAGCTAAAAAAGGCTCTTAATGGATTTGTACAAGCAAGTTGGGCCAAGTGCGTAACTAAGGCCACGACTAGCACTTATGAAGGACTTTGCATGTTTTCCTAAGAAGATGAGACTCCAAACATGATCAATTTGATCCAAGCTACAAGTTGGATTAATTAAACCTACTAGTAGTTTATTATTAAGCATTAATATTTTATTTGAACCAACATATATTTATTAATTAAGCCTTACTTAGGCATAATTTTTAATTTTGACGAGTTAGGATTAAGTTGGCTTCCTATATTTTAGGTGATCCCTATATCTTAGAAATTGAAGGCATGATTGATTCCTATGTCTTAGAGATTAAGGGTGTGGTTTAGGCTATTAGGGTTTGTTTTATTTTTAGACTATAAAGAGGCTTTATTATGTTTGAATTTGGTAGCTTTGATTTTTAATAAAAGTGAGGTATTTTTCCCCTTGGTTCTTTAAAAAACTTTACTCGAACTTATGAAGTTTTTAATTCATAGAACTTGTGATGTTCAAAGGCTTATCGCTTCCTTTCTTGCTTGTCGAGTGTAGCGACCTATTCCTTCTTTTTGCCTATGGTTCAAGTCTTATTTAGACTTAGGATTGAGATTCATAAACAATCTATGATATGATCTTCGATTTCTTCAAAATGATTTATCTTGTTCGTGAGTTTTTAATATTTGATTTACGAGATTCACATCAAAATTACCAATATAACGATAATTTATGGAAGTTGGACTTACAATTAGGGTACGTACTCTAGGCTAGATGGTAGCTTTGTTGGCTTTGGATTGGGCTCAGGCGCAGCTCGATGGCGATGGATTTGGGTTTGGTTGGGGCAACTCTAGTTTATTGAGATCTAGTAATAGTGTTGGAAATGGTGTAATTGGTTTTGGATTTAGAAGTTATGATAGTAATAATTACAATGACGAGTGCTATAAATTTTCATAACACATTCTCATTTGGTATTCAAAAGCATGTTGTTGATCTTACTCGTCGAAGGCAAGGCTATCAAACACTACAATGATCATAATCATTTTACTATTAGAGTTGATGGAAATCTTTAGATATGAACAATAATTGGTGTTGTGTGCTTATATTTTGCATACCAAACCAAAAGGTTTTTAGTGATTTTTATACGTAGAAATGTTAATTTCAAGTTTACAATATAAATGGATGAAGTTAAGAATAATAGTTCTCTATCAATATAAAAACAACTCCTATGTTGATCATTTATGCTCATAAAAATTATGATATATGGAGGGATATGATGATTCATAATTAAAATTTGAATCCAAAATTTACAATCTATTGACAAACTTCCATTTAGTATCTTGAAAGGAAAAGATAATATTATTTACTCTTAAATGCAACTATTCGACCTCATTTGTAAAACAATAATGCTATTTTTCATCAAACTATAAATTAACTTAATTTTAAAGCCTTCAAAAGAGTTTGAAGATACTATCTAATGGTAAAATCAAAAGTAAAAACTATTTGATAATCGATTTTTGTAGGATCTATCATTTGGGTCCATCCAATAATAGTTGATATTATTCACATAACTAATTAAGTTGATACGATCGCCATTGCTAATATGGTATTAGACAGATGAAGCTTTCCTACTCTAATCAAGATACGAGAGAACAAAGTCCAATAATAAAAGTTTACAAATAAATAAGTTTTATAAATACAATAAAGCATTTGAGCTAGTCACCTACAAATTCTAAAATGTCTTGTTTTAATTTTCTCGTTTTAACAAAATAATGATTTAGGCTAAGAAGATAAAAACCTATCCCATAGTCATCAAAAAAAAAAAAAAAAAAGGTTTGGGTAGTCCAATTTAAGAATGTATGAATATAAGAGTTTGCGAGTTAGTATAATTAAATTTCATAAATGATCGGCTAACTATTGACAAGCAACAATAAGCAAATTTTCAAGGAGTTGATAATGTGGGCCAATTATGCACAAAATAGATAGTTTTAACTTGTAAAAAACTCGGGAAAGTATAAAATAAAATTTTGGTGTTCGTGTTTATAGATGTATTTTTAAAATGTAACTAGTTGGATATCCGCGTTACGCTGCGATCGGATAATAGTTATATACATAAAGTCAACGATTCATGTGATATAATAAGGATAAAAATCTTATTTCTCATAATTAATATAAATCAAATATATTTGCTGAACAAAATCATTTGATTTATATATATTTATTTACAAAATAATCAATAATATTAGTATAAAAAATTATATTTGAATAATTGAAAGGTTCTTCTAAAATATTATTTCAATTATTTATTTAAAAAATATTTATTTTAGAACATAAAAAGAAATAAATAATAAATAATTGATGTTATGTATGTAAATACATAATTAATTTTCAATATATATATATATATATATATATATATATATATATATATATATATATATATATATATATATATATATTATGATCATATTCGATAGATTCAGAATATATAGTATAATTTTTTTTAAAAAAATTATCTAAGTTGCATTGAATATATTAAAATCAATAAATTGTAATAAAACTATTACAAAATTGGTTTCCATAAATTCTTAATTTATGATAAAAGAGATTCTTGAATTGCAAATTAGATTACAAATTAGTTCATCTCATTTTGAGAAATGAATTAATTAATTCTTTTGGTTTCAAAAATAAATTATTTAATTTTTTTAATCGGTATTGATCACGAATAATTTATTTTTTATTTTATAAATGTCTTTTTTCATATTTTACTTATTTTTTTCTAAGATTATTTTTTTAATCTTCCAATTTATCATTTTCTTAATTCTACATGGTGGTCCTAAAAAAGTAAAAAGAAATGAGGTTTCTAGTTACCACTTTTATGAATCATTGAAATTTATTTGCACCTCTCTCTTTCCAATTCTTCATCTAAAAAACAATCTCTACCTCCTCCGTCGCATTTAGTTTTATTTTTCTCCTTTCGTTTTTCACCCACATTAATCTATACAATTACTTAAGAACGAATAAGGATCACTATAACTGACTCGACATAGGATTTCATGGTCTCTTTATACAATACTATTGGATGAGATTATTTTTCATATTTTTTTTTCTATTTCTTAAAACAAAAAATAAAAATGGTAAAATGGTAAAAAAGATAAAAAAATTACTTTTCAAATCAAAGGGACTAATTAATTTATTTCTCAAAGAATTATTTTTTTGTTTAAAAATAGTAAAATGATAAAAAAGACAATAGAATTAGTTTTTAAACCAAAGTGATCGATTAATTTATTTCTCAAAGAAAGAAAGACCAAGAAGCAACAAAGAAATGTATGAATTAGGACATTGGGTGAGGAGCTACAAAACGTGAATAGTCTCACCTTCACTTATTTTATTTTATTTTTATTTTTATTTTTTATAATTGTTGAGAATGTAATATTTGTATTTGGTTGAAAATAAAAATTCATGATAACTTAATTTTTATTGTGTTTGGTTCATCCTTAGGAATTTATGATAAATTTAAACAAATTTACCATTTTAACATTAAAACTTACAATATCTAAATTTAAAAATATTAATATTTGTCTTTTACTTAACATTATACATATTTTGCTAGTGTTGAAAGCTATCGGTATTGAAATGAATCCAACTAAAAAAAATTAAAATTTTGGCATAAAAAATTATATCTTTTATAAAAAACATAAAAAGTTTGAGTCAGTAAAAACGTAATCATCAAGTAAAATAAATATTTCTTAAAGATATTTGAAAGTATGAGGCTATAATATCTAAAATATAAGTGAAAATTAAGAATGCATTGATGCAAATATTAATGATAGGAGTACTTAAGTAACTAGCCCTCGGAATGTGATTTTCATCATTTTAGAAGGGAATCACATTTCTTATTTTCAATACATATTAGATTTTTGAGCATTTTGATATTTACTGGCATACCAAATGCAAAAATCCTTGGCATTTTTGGCAAAAAAAAAAAAAAAAAAAAATCATGAATGCTTCCATTCCAAATACCTCCATAAAGAATTCAAAAAAGAAGGACAGGGACATAATAAGAATCAATAAAACTGAAAATTCATTGCAAATTACTCTTTAATTTCAACACTTGAAAATTCAATAGACTCGTAACAAGTAATTTTCAGCAATTCGGTAACTAGTATATGATAGGCAATTAAAATCTCATTGGGTAGATTTGTCCTAGTTTCTGTTTCTTTAGTATCAGTACTAGTAAATTTAACTGTTCTTTATTTTTTTTTTTAAAAATAAATGCATTTAATTTTAAACTTTAGATAAGTGCAGTTAATTACGAAAACACCAACTTACTTGCTTACTTTTTTTAGTGGAATAGTATGAAATATTTTCATATCAATTTTTAGATCACTCAGAAACTAATTATTTTTTTTAATGATATTAAGAATGCATTTAATACATTAGTTTAATACATTAAAAAAATAATTAAATTTAAATTTAGAAAGTAAAATAAAGAAATAAATCTTTTGAACCAGCAAACATACGTTCTGGGATGGCTCGTTCTGGGATGGCTCGTTGCTTATTAAAACCTTTGGGAATGCCATAAAAAGTTCTAAATTTGTTTCAAACAAGCTGCATAATTTGAGAGAGGAAAAAACCATAAATTAAAAAAAAAAAAAAAAAAACAACAGTGAATAGCCAAAAGCTGCCTTTTCACAAACATAGAAAAACAACGTAAAAGGATGCGATGCTGTTGATCCGCGAGCTCCCTAAATAAAACAATAAACAGTAACAAAATTTTGTATTTCTGTCGCTCCACTTCTTTTCTCCCTCTCTTCCTTCCTCCTTCACTCCCTCAAAAACCCAGCCAAATACTCTGGGACAGAGCTTTTTGTTTTTGCTTAATAATTTGATTAAATCTGTCGACAAAATCAATCAGTGAATCAATGGCGTGTGTGTACATACCGGTACAGAACTCAGAGGAAGAAGTTAGGGTAGCTCTAGATCAGCTTCCTAGAGACGCCTCTGATATTCTCGATATCCTCAAAGCTGAGCAAGCTCCTCTCGATCTTTGGCTCATCATCGCCGTTCGTCTCTCTCTGATTTCTCCTATAATTATATATTTTTCAGAATCTCTCAACCTAGGGCACTCAATAATAATAATAATAATTATATCTGCTTTGCTGCTCATAGTTAATGTTATGTTTTCTTTTGTTAAATTGATGATTTAATGCAGAGAGAGTATTTCAAACTAGGAAAACTGGATCAATTTCGGCAGATATTAGAAGAAGGATCTAGTCATGGTAATTCCTATAGGTCTGACCTTTTCGTTATTTATTTATTTTTTTGGAGGCGAGGAATGTGTAGAGTTTACTGAAGTTTATTTATTTTTGTGGGTGTCGGTGTTCAGAAATTGATGAATATTATGCGGATGTTAGATATGAGAGGATTGCCATCCTCAATGCTCTGGGGGCTTATTATAGTTATCTTGGAAAAATCGAGACAAAACAAAGGGAAAAGGAGGAATATTTTATACAGGCCACCAAACATTACAATAAAGCTTCCAGGATTGACATGCACGAGCCTTCGACTTGGGTTGGCAAAGGCCAGCTCTTACTGGCCAAGGGCGAAGTAGAACAAGCATCTGCTGCCTTTAGGATCGTGCTTGAAGGAGACCGTGATAATGTATCTGCTCTTCTTGGTCAGGTATAACTCTTTGATTTTGTTATTTTACTTATTGCTTCTTGTGGTTCACATACAATGTTATTGATTTTCTCCTTTGTGAAAGGCACTGCTCTGTATGGGTAGAAGAATTTTTCTTTTTCTTTTTTTGGGGAATTGAATAAAGATACAAGAGTTCGGATATTATGTCATCTTCCAAGTAAGGAAACAAGCTGAACAAATATCAAAATAATCAAGCTTATTATTAATCATGTGAGACAAATTTGTATAGCAGTTTCACATAAAGAGGCTCCTCAATTTAGGACTATGTTGCTTGTTGAATTATTTTCTGAAGCATAGAGGGTGGCAGAACTGATGGTAGTTCGCAAATATGGGAATAAGTTTAGAATGAGATCAAACTCTTAGAATTTTCCCAGTGAGAGACCGTGTCATGGGAGGCTGAGATGGAGCTTGCCTTCATGTGGTGGAGGGGTAGAGATGCTGCTATTATTCTATCTAACTTTCCCTTTTTTTTTTGCAGGCATGTGTTGAGTACAATCGTGGACATTATAGTGAATCGTTGACGTTGTATAAGGTCTGTCATTTATCTTATTGTATTCGATTAAAAAAGAACTTCTTCTTTTGTGTTTCATTTTTTTATCAATTTACGAGCTTGTAAGAGTCATGACAAATCCTCCTCTAACATTGATTTCTTTAATCAAGGTTAACTTTTTATTTTTTGGTCTTTGGTCAGCGGGCCTTGCAAGTTTATCCTGATTGTCCTGGAGCTGTAAGACTTGGCATAGGCCATTGCCACTATAAACTGGGCCACTTTGAGAAAGCTTGCCTGGCTTTTCAGAGAGTTTTGCAGGCAAGTGCCATTTATTGGATTTATACTGCTCATGCCACAAGTTCCCTGCTGATTCTGATATTTATATTTTGTGATCTTCCATGTGCAGTTAGATCCAGAAAATGTTGAGGCTCTTGTTTCACTAGCAATTTTGGATTTGCAAACAAATGAAGGTGGGCTGGCATTTTTTTTTTTTTTTGGTATCTGTTTGTCCAGATGAATTTGTCATTTGAGCAGTCTTACTCTGTTACTCTATTCTGTCTGAACAGCTGCTGGAATAAAGAAAGGAATGGAAAAAATGCAGAGAGCTTTTGAGATATACCCCTATTGTGCAATGGCACTGAATTATCTAGCAAATCACTTTTTCTTCACTGGTCAACATTTTTTAGTTGAGCAACTGACTGAAACTGCACTTGCTGTCACCAATCATGGACCAACAAAGTCACACTCTTATTACAATTTAGCTCGCTCTTACCATAGCAAGGTTTGATTTGTCATCTTTCTTCATACGATTGCAGTAATTGTCATGTTTTTACCGTTATCGAAATTTGTTAAAAGTGGAGGAAATTATTTCCTATTGAGAGATGTATCTTGCTGCTTGTATGTGTTTGCAAGGCCACATGTGTGAATTTGATTTTGCTTCGATGGGCAGTATGCAAAACGGGATTTCAAAATAAAGCATGCTGTTTAAAATGACTTCTCATTTGCTCACTTATCTGTCAACTCACCTTCTCTATCCTTTTCTCTTCGCTGTGAAATGCCTTCCACATTCCCTTCTAACCTTCTGTCAATGGGTGTTTGGTTATATGAACTTGTTCTCATAGCTGAAACACGAGATAGATGTTGCTGTTGGTCAGTTTTTCAACAAGAATATTCTTAATGTCTTCAAACAAAAGGCTGTATATAGTGATATCTGACATAAGCATTAATCTGGTTTGCACCTTTGATTAGCAAGTTTCAGACTACACCTTTTTGGCACCTTCTTAATGCTCTATACACGATGCTAAGTGAAGCAATCATTTTGGCTTTAATATATCCACCTCTTCATTGTTTTTCTTTATTTCTCAGGATTTCATTTATAATGTTTTTTTATCTGGCGTGCTTACTTAGTCTGTCAATTTTGTTTTGCCTTTCAACTAAGCAGTGGTGCTGTTTCTCTTGACTGTAGGGTGATTATGAAACAGCTTCAAGATACTACTGGGCATCAGTCAAGGAAATTAATAAGCCCAGTGAATTTGTGTTTCCTTATTATGGTTGGTAAACTGCCCTTGTCCTTCTTTTGGTTTATAGTATAATGTTTATTAACTTTTTTACTATTGTTAACACGTCATTGGTAATGTTGTGGCACTACGCTTAAACTTTTCCTGCTCAATATAAGCATGTTATCAAACGTTGTGCAATAGGTACTTTAGTGCTGTATTTTGATACATAATGCTTTCTACTGCAATAGGTCCTTTAGTGCTGTATTTTGATACATAATGCTTGCTACTGCTATTCGTCTCTTAATTCAACACTTCTCTGCATAACATATTTCTAACAGGTTTGGGGCAGGTACAATTGAAACTGGGAGAGATTAAAAATGCATTGTCAAATTTTGAAAAAGTTTTGGAGGTTTACCCCGATAATTGTGAGACGTTAAAGGTGAGTGGGTTAGTGGCTTTTTTTTTCCTAGTCAATCTTTCTTTCCTCAAATTTTTTTGGGAACTTTGTTCTTCGAATAATTATTTCTGCTTAAATCTGCTTTTCTCAACTCAATAGTCTTTTCAATATTATGGGAACTTTGTGCTTCCAATTATATTTGGACTGGATTTTTGTTTTTCCTATAGGTTCTTGGGCACATACATGTTCAGCTTGGGCAGACTGAAAAGGCTCAGGAATTTTTGAGAAAGGCTACGAAAATTGATCCTCGTGATGCAGAGGTAACCGACACTATTGCTTGTTCTTTCAGAGGGTTATAGGTTGTAGCTTTGAGGTTCTATTATTTTTTGATTGACAAGTATGCTTTACTAGGCCATTGAAAAGTTGATATATAAACTGGACAAGGACAGACCTTTATGGTGCACAAATCATGTGGAATGAAATCCAGTATAATTTTTGAACATGTTTTTACATTGAACTGGGTTTTTGGTAGAGTAGGACTATAGGAGAGCTGATGTTTTGAATGTTGGTACTTGATGGTTCTGCATCAAGAAAGTGCTGCTTTATTATGCTTGTGTCAGTGGGTTTATTGCCTTTCTTATCATGACTACAAATATAATAAAGTACTTTACCACGTAATATCTTGGAAGATCCTGAAGCTCAATGTCCTGTGTATGAAATGCTAGAATCACAGGGCCTTTGGCCACTATATCCCTTCTTTATAAATGTTATCAATGTTCAATCACCGTGCACATTTCAAATGCTTAAATTACAAGATCCTTCAAGTTGCTAGAAATTATTATGCATTATGTGGTGAGTTACATGCCATTTTAACATTGACTTTTTTCTTGAAAAAAATCTCAATCATTATGCAGGCGTTTCTTGATCTGGGAGAATTGTTAATTTCAACTGACACTGTAGCTGCTCTTGATGCCTTAAAAACTGTAAGGACTTTCTATTTGTTATTTATGTATTTATTTATTGTGAATTTTCTGTTTTTATTGTTAAACAAAGCGCCTTTTTTACATAATGGGTTTGTTCCAGGATAACTCAGGTTTAAAATATTGTTACAGGCACGCAGTCTTCTTAAAAAGGGAGGTGAAGAAGTGCCAATAGAAGTACTTAACAATATTGCAGTCATTCATTTTGAAAGAGAAGAACTTGAGGTTTATACAGTTCTCTTTTGATTTTATTTAAGAAAATAAATTTCAGCATGAAAATGATAATAATAATAATAATAATCTTCTTATTTGAATTTACCTTTTCAATTCACTCCTAGTTTGAACCTCTTCTTCTACTTCTAGTTTCTTGCTATTAAAATCTTTATTAGAAATCTCAAAAATAGTTGTATATTTTGATACAGCTTGCGTTGCAAACTTTCAAGGAGGCTCTAGGTGATGGCATATGGCTCACTTTTCTTGAAGGCAAGGCAAAGACATACGAAATTGATGCAACTTCATCTCTTCTTCAATACAAGGACATGCAGATATTTCATCGACTGGAGGAAGAAGGTCTTTCTGTGGGTCTGTCTTGGAATAAAGTGACAACATTATTTAACTTGGCCAGATTACTTGAGCAGTTGCATAACACAGAAACTGCAAGCACATTATACCGTCTCATCTTGTTTAAGGTATTTAATTGTGTGTGTGCATGTGCGAGTAGGCATATATTCTCTCATGCATTCTGTTTTATTGATTAATACCGCCGTCATCAATTGAGATACGAGAACTTTTGTGATTCAGTTAGAGTTGAAAACAACTTAACTGTTAGAAAGAAATCAGTGGAGCTGTTGCTTTGACTTTGAACTTCAGAAAATGATCAACTTTGAAAAGTTAGAAATAACAGCAAGTTTCTGTATGTGATATTTGAACTCAATTATCCTACAGTTGATGCTATAATAGAAAATGCTAACTAGTGGTAAAACATGCACATATCTTGGTTTTAATTGGTGATTTTAACTTACATTTATGCCTATTATGCTGCAGTTCAAGCTTTCCAATATTTAGATTTAACATCAATTGTTCTGTATTTAGTCATATGGGACGTTTCAGTTTTGTCTGAACTTTTTTATCCCTTTGTGCAGTATCCAGACTACATCGATGCTTTTCTGAGGCTTGCTGCCATTGCCAAAGCTCGAAACAATCTTCAATTAAGCATTGAACTGGTTATTATCATCTTTGTAAATTCACATTCATGTCTGTAATTTTGTGAAATGCTTTTGTGATGGACACAAACTTTTTCTTTCAAAGGTAAATGAGGCTCTGAAGGTGAATGACAAGTGTGCAAATGCATTATCAATGCTTGGTGACTTGGAGCTTAAAAATGATGACTGGGTAAAGGCTAAAGAAACATTCCGTGCTGCTAGTGAGGCAACAGATGGGAAGGATTCTTATGCAACTCTCTCTTTGGTGTGTATCTTGTTTATTGTGCATACTGCTTTAGGTTCTCTTAAGATATTTGGTGTTCTTCCCACACTCACTTTTTTAGTGATTATGTTGCAGCAATGCTTCTCATACATGTTTCATCATTATTTCTATGACATTATGTGCATCTTACATACTTATTTGGCATTGTTAAGGGGAACTGGAATTACTTTGCTGCAATACGCAATGAGAAAAGAAATCCTAAGTTGGAAGCTACTCATCTGGAAAAAGCCAAGGAACTGTACACCAGAGTATGAATGCCTTCCTTTTCTTTACACCAGTGTCTTTTCTCCACCCTTAAAGCATAATTTTTTTGGGTTATCTTAGTCATTTCTTTTTTTCTTTTATTTCACTTGATTTGCAATATTGTTGTTGCTGTTCATTTCTCTCCCAGACACCTTCCAGTGAGTGTATTCTTTATAAATTATAGAGTAGTGTGATGAGAAACAGAGGTTAGGACTTTGCATACATGTGTCTAATTTTAGAACACATAATTAACAGAAATCAGAAGGGAACCAAAATTAATGCTTTCCAATTTCATGAAGGTCTACATAGAGAGACTTTCAAAAGGAGTATATTTTATGTTATTAAACTGAATTCAGCAATGCCTTAATCTCCCAAAGTGGTAGGCGTGGGCTACAAATTTATTTTCTCCCAATTTTTTGTCCAAGGTGAGGTCTCCATAACATAGAAATCTTATTCTAGCATTCATCTCGCACAAAGAAGAATGCTGTATTATTGAAAGAGCAAAATAGAATAAGATAAGAGTGAGAGATATATGCAAGAAAGCTGATTTTGAACTTCGATCTTCTATTTGAACAGCTTCTAATTTTCATTGACTCTCTGCATATTGCTTCAATTTGGTGTTAATTGACAGCCTCTTATCTCACTTTAATACTCCACTTAGAGTGTGATGGTAAAACGTAATGGCCCTGGAAATAAAGAAGCTTGATCTGTGACTAGATGAAAATGGTTCATCTTCGCTGGCTTGTACTCATAGGGCCTTGAATATGGATTTAGCTTTAACAATTTCACTTTCCCTGAGTTCAGGACCATATTATAAGACTTCTTCCTTCCATTTATTTGGGCCCTTAAGGTTATAGCCTTCAGCCTGTTACTTTTATGCTATATATTTCTTTTCAATACAATAATGTTCTCATAATAATCTTTGGCTTTATAGGTTCTGGTTCAGCATACAGCTAATCTATATGCTGCCAATGGCGCTGGAGTAGTCTTGGCAGAAAAAGGACACTTTGATGTATCGAAAGATCTTTTTACACAGGCAGGACAAATAATTGTTCATTTTTTGTATGGGATTACAAACTTGCCCTGTGTCTTTCCTCTAAATGAATTCTTTGTATGTTTTGTGATGATAGGTCCAAGAAGCTGCAAGTGGAAGCATTTTTGTCCAGATGCCAGATGTCTGGATAAATTTGGCACATGTATATTTTGCTCAAGGAAATTTTGCATTAGCTGTTAAGATGGTGAGTTCATCTCATTTTATTCAGATATATGCCTGCTTATGCATGTCTGCCGTGTTATTATAAACATTCTTTTAAATTTCTCTGTTATAGTGTCGTTTGCTGATGACACTGTTTGTTGCAGTACCAGAATTGTTTGCGGAAATTCTTTTATAATACGGATTCTCAGATTCTTCTTTATTTGGCGCGCACTCATTATGAAGCTGAACAGTGGCAGGACTGCAAGAGAACTTTATTGAGAGCCATCCACTTGTCGCCTTCTAATTACACCCTGAGGTTTGATGCAGGTGTTGCAATGCAAAAATTCTCAGCATCTACACTGCAAAAGACAAAGAGGACAGTAGATGAGGTTAATTTTTTTTTCCTTCTCCTTTTCTGTGTTATGGAAGATAACCAGTCATTGGGTACATGCCCTCAGACCAAGTTTTTAAACTCTTCAGATTACAAAAGATGAAATCTGCTGTGACTCCGATTTTCATATACTTTGTTGGCCTTGATCACAATGCCATCTGAGTACCATAATTTGGGTTTATAACATTACAGGTGCGTTCAACTGTTGATGAGCTGGAAAATGCTGTCCGTTTATTTAGTCAGTTATCTGCTGCTTCCAACCTTCACTTTCATGGGTTTGATGAGAAGAAAATCAACACCCATGTTGAGTATTGCAAGCATTTACTGGAGGCTGCTAAAGTTCATCGTGAAGCAGCTGAGCGGGAGGAACAGCAAAACCGACAGCGGCTAGATCTTGCTCGTCAGATGGCATTGGCAGAGGAAGCCCGCCGCAAGGCTGAAGAACAAAGGAAATTTCAGGTCTACTGTTGTAATCTTGCTTCTTGAACGCCTATAAACTGTTGAATGAAGGTAAAACCCTAATAGTATCGGTATTACAGTTGGAGAGGAGAAAACAGGAAGATGAGCTAAAACGGGTGCGGCAACAGGAAGAGCATTTTGAGCGTGTGAAGGTAAAAAAATTGTTCCTACTGTTTTAGGTTTATAGTAAATAATCCATAGAAAATCAAATATTTCTTTAAGAATGCTGGGTTTCTGATTTTGCATAATGTTGGCTCTTGCAGGAGCAATGGAAGAGTAGCACATCTGCTTCTAAGCGGAGGGACAGATCTGATATTGATGATGGGGAGGGTGGGCATAGTGAGAAAAGGAGGAGAAAGGGTGGAAAGAGGAGAAAGAAGGAGAAGAGCTCAAGGTCACGCTATGAGACGGAAGAAGCTGACATGATGGATGATCATGATGAACCAGAAGATGAAGATGCCAATTTGAATTATAGGGAGCCTGGATATCAAATGAATGATCAGGAAGACAATGTGGAAGAGAATGCGCAGGATGTTCTTGCAGCAGCTGGGCTGGAAGACTCTGATGCAGAGGATGATGCAGTAAGAACTTTTTCATTTTTGTTTTCAGCTGCAAATCTCTAATAAAGTAACTGTTTTTTCATGTTGAAGCTTAGCTACAGTACTTGCTATCTTAAACCTGCTTCTGGAAGCACCATGGAGCAATTTAAAATTCTTTGTTGTGTGAATACTTGGTTACTCAAGTTTGTAAATTGTTTATAGATGCCTAATTGTAGTTGCCTGACAAGCTACTAATTGTTATGAATGGTTTATTAGTTTGTTGATGCTAAGGTCTGTTCATGTTATTGATGTGCTACTGTCTGTGAAATCAATGAATTATAACTAGTGAATCATCATTTAGCCTCATTAAGGGGCTGCTTGGAAATTGTTAATTAAACTTTGTTTGATCAAGTTATTTAATCAGTTTTTTATTTTAGCAAGCAGTATATGAAAATTTCCCTTTCTTATGACCGTTATTCTTCTGTGTTGTCCCTTTGGATGAAGGCTGCACCTTCATCAGCAGGCAGGAGGAGGCGGGCATGGTCAGAATCTGATGAGGATGAGATACCAGAGAGGAAAACACAGTCCAGCCTTTTGCAAGAGAATTCTGCTGAGCTGCAGGATAGTGATGGTGAATTCAGAGATGATACTAACAGGCAGCAGGAGAATGCTGCTGTTGATGATGAGGATTGATATCAAATGACTTGAATACTCTATTAAGGATTAGGGAGAACTAACATGCCAACTAAGGTGAATGCCTTGCACTCTGTGGAAGTACTCGAATCTTTTGAACTTTTTTGCTTCCCTGAATTACTTCTATAGTTCGATTTTGTATGGTTTACTATAGGTGTATCTTGATGAAAATGCAACTTTTGCATCCTTGTATATGCACTATGTGTGCTGAACAGTTGCATCCTTGGAATTATTTTAGAATCTTATATATTTTAGGCAGAAGTTGTACAGTTGGGATTCTCTGACCAGTCTCTACTAAGAAATTGTTGAGCATGCAAGTTAGCCAGCTTGAGTTTATCTTTTGGGTCATTGGGTTTGTTGGGGAGGAGGGATTGATAGGGAGGCTGGATGAGAAGATAATGTTCTTGTTTGAGACGATGGATGGAGACCCAAGGAGGGGAAAAAGAAAAAAAAACGCTTGTAATTTACAATCCGTTAAATTTGGACAGACTTAACTTTCCTTGTTAGCCAAACAAGGGAACAAATAGCTGGAGGGTAACATGCATCATTTTACTTTTACCGTCCAATCCTTCCTAACAGCCTCTTTATGTGATGAATTCTTTTTGGTTGGAACGATAGGAAGGAAAAATACAGATTTAAGATGGGTCAGACTCACTAGTCATAGGGTGCAGGTGTTCCTGTGCCTCACGAGTTGCAGGCAAGAGAAGGGCTGGTTAATTTGAGATTCATTAAGCTTAACGACGTCATTGTCTGTTGAATTGATGTGCTTGACGATGAGTGTAGAAAATGTAAGGTCATACTGTCAGACATGGGACCGTTCCTTTTGGGATGATTACTGAGACAGTGTCAGAGTCAGAGTCAGGGTCTGATAGGAGGTGTTGTGTTTGGTGAGAAGGATTAAACAGTGTGCTGTATGGTTTTGCATCCCTACTTGCTGCAAAGATTCAGTGGGAAAGCCTTTTTAAAGTCTCGTCTCTAAGCACTTCTTTTCGGAGGAAGGCACCAGACCCACACATGCACATCCATCAGAAGGTTCAGAACAGACACGGACTAGTGCTCTCTGTGACCTGACTCCTCATGGCTGGCTTTTTCTTCCATTACTAAGTTACCCCTCGTCTCATCGCAGTAAGACCAGGAAAATAAATAAATAAAAAATCCTTGCGGTAGGTTTACGGAGGAGATGATTATATTTATACTTAGCCTGAAGTTAATTAAACAGTGAAACAAAATGCCAAACTCTGATGTGATGCCTGTTTTTCCATTTATTTAACCGGGTCGTTCGTGATTAAAATTGATTCAATAAAAGTACAAAACAAGGAAGGTCTGTGGAAGTTTAGTGATGCATCAAAGCATCTATAAGACTGACATTCTTTAGGGCACAAAGCATACAAGGAGGTTCCAAAACTGTAGGTAATGCTCATCAAACTCAAAAGAATGATGGTTGCCCAAAATATGAATTCCTAATATTTGAGAAATATGAACAGCTCTTTTTGCTTTTACAGTGTAATCTTGTGAAAATGATTATATCATCAAATATATGCAATCCCACCTTAAAGAAGAAGGGAGAAAAACCCTGTTGGAATTTGTCTTCTTCCAACAGATATTATGCCATTCCCCTTGTGAGTAATTATCAAGCACGTACAACTTTATTGTTAAGCAAGAATTAGTGTCATGTTTGCTGTGAGCTATAGAGTAGCACGCACAATCAATTCGTATACTGGCTTGCATTGTTATTAAATCTAAATTTCCCAACATAGGAACAATTCTGATATAATTGTATGTGGTGTCAGTTTGATGACTACAAGTAGGGTCTACTAATACCAATTTCAGGTACGTGAATTGAAAATTGACAAATTAGCAAAACCCGGGGCCACCAGGTCCCTCAACTATTACTGCAGTAAGCAGCAGGTTGGGCAGGTATCTGAAACTGAAAGCAACAATTAATTACTGAACGCAGAAGATACGAAATCACCTTCATATCAATAACTTAGCTACCATGAAGTATATTTTGGTCGAGTCCTCCAAATCTCTTTATGAATTCTAAAGTGAATGAACTAAGTAAAGAACAGAACCAACAAAGCAAAAGACATTGAAGAACACAACCAACAAAGCAAAAAACATTGGATACTTCATTAACACACACATAATCCAATCTCAATCCCATTTTGCAGAAAGAAACAAAAAAGAGTTCCAGCAGTTCTTAGGCCTCTTGACAAAAAGCAGTGACCCCCCAACCCCCAAGTACATCGATCTTTGGCCTTCAAAATACAGACTCAACCATCTGCAAAACAAAATGATTTTCATGGACAAAAAGTATCTATCTGGTTTAAAAAGGAAAACCACAAAAATTAAAAATATTGACAAGATAAAAATAAAGACTTGAATTGATTACCGTTAGTAGTTCTTGAATTAAAGATTGGAAGAAAGTCATGTGATGAGGGAATGGATATTGAGAGCCTGGTTGTTGAAACTGATGTACTATTTGATGATTTTTCATCCAAATCAAGCCATGAATCTTTATTCTTTGGTGGCCATTCGTCAAAGAAACGATGAACAGTCTTTTGGGGTTCTTCCTTCTCCATTTTCATGGGTCCTAGACTACTTGTATCAGTACTTCCCAGAGGATAGTTATGTTGATACTGCTTTTGCTGTTTTGGGGTATCGTGATCACTAAAGCTTTGAAGCTGTAAGTAAGAATATTCGTTATGTAAACTAGACAAGCTCCTCTGCTTTGAAGAATTAGTAGTAGTAGTAGAAGAAGAGTTCATTGTGAGTGGGGTGAGTTGCCAAGCATCATCCAAAGATGAACCAGACAAGCTTCTCATAGAATCTGAAGATTCTGAGAAGAAAGCATGCTCATCAACCTCCTCTTTCAGCCCATAAACATTCCTGTTTCTTCTTAATTAAAAAAAAAAAAAAAAAAAAAAAAAAAAAAAAAAAACAAAGACAAAAACCAAACTACTAAGAAAAGATTTTACTAATAATAAAAAGAAAACTATAGAAAAATAATATAAACGCCACATTAACTTTGCAAACATACCTGTAATCTGTATTGGTCAGAGAAGAACCACCAGAGTCCAAAAGCAAGTGAGTAGAATTTTCTTGAGGGGACAGACCAATCCCAGGGGGTCTTGAAGAAGACAAAAATTGATGGTTTGGATGGGCATGATAACCTGCAGAAGCAGGGTAGTGAAGGTGATTCTGGTGGTGGGTCTCAGGTGACAATAACGAAAGAGAATGGGAGGATGTTGTTAGTAGTGAATTATAAGAGTGGTTTCTGGTGATTGATGAGACAGTTGGTGCTGTTGTTGATTGTGTTTGTGTTGCAACTTCCACAGGCTTTCTTGAACGGTTCTTCCCTCTATGCATATGTCTCTCACAGTACTTAGAGTCTGGGTATGCTTCTTTTGAGCATCTCCATTTCTTTCCATCTGTTCTCCTGCACCTCCCTGGTTCTGGATCTATTTTCCTCCCCAAACCCATCTGGAAACAGCTCCAAGCAACTGCACCCACAAAATACTAGATATATTAGCTAAAAGAAACCCCAGATAAAATAAAAGAGACTTTCAAAAAATTTGTGGAGACAGAAATTAAGAGATCAGGTGCGTGTGCAGTGGGCTCACAATGTGGAGGAGGTTGGCGAGGATAGAGCTTTGAAGAGAGAGAGGACTCCAAGCAGCCACCTCTTTTGATGGTGAAGAGGAGATCAGGAGGGATGGGGATGCCTGAGACCATGTACTTGTAGATTAGTGCTTGATGCTCAAGCTCTTGCCACTGAGATGCAGTGAAGGGAAATCTGTTTCCTCCACTCATTATCATATTGCTCTGTAAGAGAGTAGAAAAGAAATTGTTTTAAGTTTAAACAAGTGAAGTGAAAGAGCAGGGACAGTTGCAGAAACAAGGAAGGAAGGAAAGAAAGAAAGAATGGAAGAAGCAGGTTGTGTGTGTTGGGGTTAGTGAATGTATGTGGTTTATTACTTGTAGTTGTTATTACTAAATGGCTTGGAGAGTAGAGTAGGTATATTTATTTCAGGGACCATTGGCCTGCAGAATCTTCTGTACATGGATAAAACTAATGGTTCTGATTACAGTGCTGCCACCTCTCTCTCTCTCTCTCTCTCCTTATATTATGTCTGAACCTCTCTGATGCTGCAGCTAAGCTGCCTGGCAGCTCCTGTCTCTGACAACACTACGGAAACCCATAAACTAAAAGAAGAGAGTGCATTAAAAAGGCTGTAAAAAAAAACAAAAGAGAAAAAGTAATAAATTTTTTATCTTTACTATTAAGACTGGAGAGGAGTTGGTGTCTGAAGCCCCTGTGCCTGCACTGAGAAGGTTGTACGGTTTGAGCTTTTACTGCCACTAACTCCTTTACTTTTTTCTGTTCCTTTGCCTCAGACCCCAGTACCCTCCTCTGCTTAATATTTGACCTTTTTCGATTTGGGAAATTGAGAAAATGAGAGAGATTCAGGTTGGGGGTGGGGGGCTCTCTTGTGTTCTGGAACCCACCTCGCTCGTTTTCTTTTTCTTTCCTTTACATATTTTTTCTTTGCGAGACAAATATATATATTTTATTTGTTTGGTTTCGGTTGGAACGGTCATCAAGTTAACATGTGTGTCTTTTTTAAAACAAGACAGTTTGTGTAAGTGGACATCTTTATGAATGATGAGGTGACTCGCCCTCAACCTCACCTCGCCCACTGGCAATACTTTATGTCCTTTATGGTTAAGTGTTCAATTCATGACTCGATCCTTAGCCTTTGCTTAAACACAGCGAGAGTGCAACCTAATTAATCCTCTCTTAATCAGAAACAAAAACCAAAACCGAAAAGATGCACCAGAGCATATCTATATATAGAGAGAGCTCATCACATGGCCCAAAAATCCTTGCTTTTGGTTTTGTGGGATCTAATCTCCATCTATTACTTGTTGTATTAGAATATTCCAAATAAATGAACTTCCTACCAGCCAAAACAACTGTTATTCAACGTTAAGTTAATTGCAGTACTGTTTATGTACTCCCAAAATGATATCATCTTTAAATTAATATGAGTGAAAACTGAGGGTTGGACTGCATTTAATTCCCTGCCCTGTAACTATTCTTGTATTTTAAGTTTGGCACTGGCAGGAGGTCGTACAAAGTCATGCACTGCTCTTTGGCACTGCTGTTGTGTTATTATCTCCTGGCAGACTCGAACACATGCAAAGCCACTTTTTTGGTACAGAAGCCCCACTTGGGACAGAACATCCTCCCAGGTGGATTTGTAGAATAAATTCTCTTTCAAGTTTCACTAAGCATGTTTGGCCTGCACACTAAGCATTATTTCACTGACCTCCCAAAACCATCTGACTCGGAAGTCTTTCATCATTAGATATGATTTATAGAAATGTTTTCATGGAGCAAATATTGCAACCAGAGGCCAGACTAAATGGTGACATGGTAATTAAATACATTAGCACTTCATGTCACCCGGGATTTGCTGTCCACTCCATCCACGATATTTTAATTTTTAATTCGTTTGTTTTGAATTTTTTTGAAGCAGATAGTTACTCATTCAAATGAGAGTTTCAACTTTCATGGGCAAATATTTCATGCATGACATAGCTTTCATAAATATTCTTCTAGAAATCAAGGATAAAGGTTTGTTTATTTTCAGGTTTCTCACATGAGGAAGTACGTGAACGAGTATCAGGGATGATAATAGATGGTATACGACCCCATTAATTTAATTTTTTATTTTATTTATATATATAAAAAATATCATATCCATTATCTATTAAGAAAAATCATATAAATTTTTACTCAATCTATATACGATTCACATTAGTTTACCATTCATTTAGTATCCATTTAATACTCACTAAAATTAATTATTAAAAAAAATTCATTTAAGTCTCTATAATTTTCAAGAAAAGTTTTTTAGTCTTAATTTTTTATTTTTTTTATTTTTTTTATTTATTTTTTTTTTTTTGCATTTTGATCATTTATTTATAAGTTTTTTTAGCCTTTAAAGTTTTTTTTTAAAAAATATTTTGGTTCTCAATTTTTAAATTTTATACAATTAGTTCCTCGCATGTTAATAAAAAAATGACAATAAATTAGTGGCTATTAATAGAATAAAGAATGAGCATTCATATCCCGCAACTATATTACTCGGATATGTATTTTTTTTTTTAATTCTATACACTTTAATACTATTGGATATTTTGAATAGATATTTATTATGTCGAGTAAAGTGAGTATTCGTTTTATACACACTTTATTGTCATTTTTAATGAGTTATTATTTGAATTATATAGAGTTGTGTGTCTAAGAAAACAAAGTTGTTTAAGCACAACTTTTTCTACTGCGATATATCCTACTTCACATCTAGGCACTACCATGCCTTAATTATTTTGTTTGCTTTCTTGTAACGATACACCTATCTCCATTGCCGGAACCTCTCCTGTACATCTTGTGTATTTCTTGTAGTTACTTCTTGTACATTTTTTGTTTTTAAAAATCTAAAAACTAATTTATGTTTATTATTTATTATTTTCTAAAAATTGTTTATTATTTTAACAAGGATGTATGAAGAAAAAACTATTATATATAAGAAATATAATAATATATTATTAATAAAAAATATTAATATTATGTAATTCATAATGATTAAATGATAGCATCATGACAATAACATATATGGTGTTAATTAGAGTGACCATGACATGATGATGATTGATACCACACTAAAAATGACAATAAAATTATAGTAATATATATATATTTTTTTTATGATTGTAATTTTATTGATAAATAATAAAGATTATAGTAATATTATTTTTTTAGGATTGTAATTTAATTGATAAATAATACTATTCGTAATAAATGACAATGATATGATAGGAATTGTTGCAATAACATGATAATAGTACCATGAGATCATTTTATAACTTGCCATTATTATTAAAAGACAAAAGATGCGTATCACCGTTAAAGTTATTAACTAGTAATAAATTTTAGTATTTTTATGTTTCCATAAAAAATAAATGTGTATTCTAATAATGCCAATAAAAATTAGTGTTATTAAAAACACTAAAAAAATAGAAAACAATTGATTTTTGCAAACAACATATGACATATTCCTATTAAAATCTCTTAAAAAGATGAATAAAAATAATTAGTATTACAAAAAAAAAAAAAAACAAATTGAATAAGGAAGCTCGTAGTTAATTACAAAACAATAAGAAAAACTTGCGACTAAGAGAGAGAAAACATTAAAAATAAAGGAAAAACTAATTGTATTTTGTGTTACTCTGATAAGAAATTTTTTCCTTTTCTATAAATTTCTATTAAAAATGGAAAATTTTTGGCAATGCCTAATTGGTTTAACAATATTAATTTGTGTATGTACAAATATAAAAAATGTATATTTATATAATCTTTTAATGATATTTTCTTCCAAGTTGATGAGGTCAATTGACATCATTCTTATTAACATAGATCCGCCATTGGATTTGTCAAGATTATAGAGATAATAAGGATAGTATTGGTGGAGTTGATGATAGTGATAGTAATGTTAAAAAAGACGGTGATAGTGAAAAATTGAAATGAAAATTGCGATTGTGGTGGTGATATTATGACAATAGTAGTGATTGTGATATGGTAGTGGAAATGTTGGTAACATTGAAAGCCTTAGCACATGGAGAGGAGGTGAAGTAGGTGAAAAATAAAACTTAACAACTTAAACGTTATTTTGAAAATGTAGCACAACCAATCTTAATATAGTCCATTTTTCAATCTTGCAAGCATTTCCAACACAGAGTGCAATAATAAAATGATTAGGAATAGAGAGATGGCACCATGATGTATATTGGTTCAACCGAACGTCTAGTCCCCTTCTTGAACGAAAAGTCCTAGTATTTCTACCATGCCTTCGGCCTTGTTCGCTGGCGAGGCCTTATCTTTTGCAACACTAATTTTTTTTTCGAGCTCAAAATTTAAAACCCTTACAAAATCTTTTTTATGGGCTCAGGATCAAATCCTTACATTCCTTTTTAAGAACTCAAGATCACAACCCTCACGATTTTATTTTATTTTATTTATTTATTTATTTATTTTTTGGCATGAGCTTCCGATTGAAACCCAATCACTCGAGCTATCAAAATCTCAAAACTAAAAATAATAAGTGATTGAAGTGCCACTTACACTTTAACAATGATTTTCAAAAAAAAAAAAAAAAAAAAAAAAAAAAGAAAAGAAAAGAAAAGAAAAGAAAAACGAACTAAGAACCCACACAAATAAAGAGGAGATTACAAGATGAAAAACTCAAGCCAGCCTTTAGTTGGGAACAATCTAAGCTCTTTTTATGTAAAAGATATGATGCAATAAAAAGTAAAATGTAGATCAATAAAATTATAAGCTCATGAAAGAGAGAATAAGATTGCATGACCATATAAAAGTAAGAGTGAAGCCTAGTTATAGATGAAGGTTAAAACTAGTCATTTTAGGCAACTTTTAATGACATTCATATTCTTGGATAACAGATTTAATCCGATATATCGGATAATGCCATGTCCGTGTAGATGCCTCGCTCAATAAAGGACAAGTGAAATGATAAGTTTGTCTTATACATTCCAGTGCAAAAAGTTGATGGAGCTTGATGCGGAAGTATCCCTCTCTTAACTTGGTCGAAAGTTTTCCCTCTATGGTGGCCGAAACTTTCAACCCTCTTTCCTATCTATTTTATTATTCTTTTATTTTATTTGGGTTATTTTTATTTATGTGGACTTGGGCTAATTAATTAGTCATCAAGGCTTTTAAATTTCTTATT